AAAAATGACTCTCTCAGATCACTTGTACAAAAGAATTCAGATGATTAGTGTTTGGTTCCATAACGACCGGGCAGGTTTCATTCATTGTTGACTAAACCATACCAAGCATACTGATATAATTTTTCGTGTCCTCCCTTTAAATCCTGTCTTTGCATTTTTCAGGCCATCGACACAAGAGATGCTTTGTCAAAGTCAATTTATGCATGTTTGTTTGAGTGGTTGGTTGAACAAATTAACAAATCACTTGCAGTAGGAAAACGGCGTACTGGCAGATCTATCAGCATTCTTGATATCTATGGTTTTGAATCATTTGATGTATGTTTTCTTTATGCTTTAATTGGATCTGTTTGTTTATTATATTTTTTTAACTGAACATTTGTTCTTTTTTTTTCCCCGTAGAGAAATAGTTTTGAACAGTTCTGCATTAATTATGCAAATGAGAGATTGCAACAACACTTCAATCGTCACTTATTCAAGTTAGAGCAGGATGTAAGTTTCCCATTCTTCTTATCATTCTAACTGTGAATTTAATAAAGACTTGTTTATTCTTTGCTTCCTCTGTTCCACAGGGTTTCATCGAGTTATAATCAGATATTTATTGCTTCCACAGAATTTCATTAGACTAGAAAACCATAATTCGCAGTGCCAGTGCCTATTTAAAAGCAACCATGCCATCATAATTATATTTACCACTTTAGTTCGTCAAGTAATAATTTAAAGCAAACAAGATATAGGGAGGTGAAGGAACCAAGAAACGTTATTAAACCAATGATAAGTACATCATGCTTGCCCTGTGTGAACCAAATTCTTAAATGATTCCTAATTTATTGGTACATTTGTGCTTGGACGGAATTAATCTCATGAAGAGTTAATTAGAGCAGAACACATGCTTAATTTATTGACTACTATTATCTATTCCTGTCAGGAATATATCCAAGACGGAATTGATTGGACAAAAGTTGAATTTGAAGACAACCAAGATTGTCTTGGTCTTTTCGAAAAGGTACTGAGCCTTTTCCCTTTCCTTCCGTTTACAGTTGTCCCTTGTTTAATGATGATAACCAATAAAGTTAGTGATGCTTGGGACCCTTGTTCCAATTAGTATATGAGAACTAAATTTACAGTATGTGTGTCCCTGAACTTCTTGTGACATAAATGCAGAGACCGTTGGGATTACTGTCTCTGTTAGATGAGGAGTCCACCTTCCCAAATGGTACTGATTTGACCTTTGCCAACAAGCTCAAGCAACATCTGAGCTCCAATTCTTGTTTCAAAGGAGAACGAGGCAAATTGTTTGCTGTCAGTCATTATGCAGGAGAGGTACTCCTTTTGATTAATTGATTTTCGTTGTTTTATATTCTCATTAATTGCTAGAGTGCAATAATATTTTAATCTATTTTCTTCATAATTTATCCTGATTATATTAAAGCACAACTGGTATAAAGAAAATGTCAGTGTACATTTCCAAGCCCAACCCACCCCTTTAACTCTAAATCAAGGCTCGGGTGCTAACAATTCTTCTATGCATTATCTCATAGTACTGAAAAAATAATAAAGTAAAAGCTTTCTATTTTAACTTTTTCTTACTGGCCTGACTGTTGATTGTTCGACTTGCTCCTCCACTCAGGTTTCATATGACACAACAGGATTTTTGGAAAAGAACAGGGACTTGCTGCATTTAGATTCTATTCAGCTTCTTTCCTCATGCTCATGCCACCTTCCTCAGATATTTGCATCTAGTATGCTTAAAGTAGGTGGTGGAGTAGACTCCCAGAAGCTGAGTGTTGCAACAAAATTTAAGGTATGCTGCTTTCCTGTTTTTAAGAACATGACTTTGAATTTAACGAAGATTATAATCGTGATAAGATACAGAAGTAACTATCTGCTAACTGTTTTCTTTCAATTAACTTATTTGTGTTGGTATTTAGAGTCAATTGTTCCTATTGATGAAACGTCTAGAAAACACCACTCCACATTTCATACGTTGTATCAAGCCCAACAATCTTCAATCCCCTGGACTCTATGAGCAAGGACTTGTACTGCAGCAGCTGAGATGTTGTGGAGTTCTAGAAGTGGTTCGAATATCAAGATCTGGCTTTCCTACCAGAATGTCACACCAGAAGTTTGCAAGAAGGCAACACAATATATCTTTACTTCTGTTTCGTCTTTCAAATACCTTATACCTGTCTCGAGTATCTTATCATTTTTGTTTGCTTTGTCATTGTTGAACCTTGCATCAGATATGGTTTTCTTCTGCTGGAGAATGTTGCATCTCAGGATCCACTTAGTGTTTCAGTTGCTATTCTTCATCAGTTCAACATATTACCAGAGATGTATCAAGTGGGCTATACAAAGTTATTTTTCCGAACTGGACAGGTAAATTGATGTACTGCGTTTGAGGAAAGGAAAATGAATATGCTACCTGTTTTGGACGGAAACTAGTGCATCTGGGTAGAGATAAGACTATTGTATGGCTATGCTTTCATCATGCCTAGGTTCCAACACTTTTAATGCATATATTTGAATGTTGTCCACTTTTAGACATTTTGATGTGTTTAAATCTATATACAAGATTTGACCAATCTAAAAACCTGACTAAAATCATTGGTTGTGTCAGCTGTTGGGAACATCTTTCATACATGTTAATCTTTACTGAGATCAAAGTGGTGGAAATTTGGTGCAGATTGGGGTGCTTGAGGACACCAGAAACCGTACGCTCCATGGTATTTTACGTGTTCAAAGCTGCTTTAGAGGACACCAAGCTCGGTGTTACCTCAAGGAGCTGAGGAGAGGAATCACCACTCTGCAGTCATGTATTAACCTGCTCATTGTTTATTTTGGTGAACTATATCAAATTTTGTTAAGAAGCATTTGGGTATTTATTGTAATTTACTTAATGCAGTTATCAGGGGACAGAAAACCAGGAAGGAGTACTCAATATTACTAGAGAGGCATAGAGCTGCTGTTGTCATACAAAAGCAGGTGAAAAGCAGGTTTGCAAGGAAGAAATTCAACAACATTTATGATGCATCAATCGTGGTACAATCAGGTACAATAGCTTGGTTCCTCAATCCTGTTGAACTTGTGCAGACTTTGTCAACATGTTAAAGGTTAAGCAGTCCATACTACTCAACATCTATATATTTGATAATTTTGTCTAAGTTTAAGCTATCTTTGCAGTTCTTCGTGGCTGGTTGGTCAGAAGATGCTCAGGAAGTATAGGATTGTTGAAGCCCGGAAGCACGAAGGTAGTCCTACACACTTCTGTCTATTTTAGAGTCTCATTACCTCATTATGGCCTTTGCACCTACATTATAATGTTTGTATCTTTCAAATTTTTGGTTTTGCCCATCTTATATGGATTTTGTTTGCACTTTGTCCGGTGATGCAATACTTCCATGTATAAATTGAGCCTCATAATAGCTTTCATCAGGTTCACTTACTGCTGTGTGGTGTGAGTGCCATAAATGTTGTTTGAGAATTTGTGTTGTTTGTGCAAGCACTATCACCAATTCGTACTATCACCATTTGTTTATGGGAATAATTAACTGTTAGAATCTCAAACAGGCTAACGAGTCAGATGATGTGCTGGTAAAGGCATCTTTCCTTGCTGAATTACAGCGCCGCGTTCTTAAGGCTGAAGCTGCCCTGCGAGAGAAGGAAGAGGAGAATGACATCCTCCACCAACGTCTCCAACAGTATGAGAGCCGCTGGTCGGAATATGAGTTGAAAATGAAATCCATGGAAGAAGTGTGGCAGAAACAAATGAGATCCCTACAATCCAGCCTCTCAATTGCAAAGAAGAGCTTAGCCATTGATGATTCCGAGAGAAATTCTGATGCATCAGTGAATGCAAGTGATGACCGTGAGTACGGTTGGGATACAGGAAGTAACCATAGAGGCCAAGATAGCAATGGGGTGAGACCAATGAGTGCAGGTTTGAGCGTCATAAGTCGGTTAACTGAAGAGTTTGATCAGAGGAGTCAAGTTTTTGGCGATGATGCCAAGTTCTTGGTGGAGGTAAAGTCTGGTCAAGTGGAAGCGAGTCTGAATCCAGACCGAGAGCTAAGAAGGTTGAAGCAGATGTTTGAGGCTTGGAAGAAGGATTATGGGACAAGACTAAGGGAGACAAAGGTGATTTTGCATAAGATTGGAAATGAAGAGGGAGGCAGTGCTGACAGGGTGAAAAAGAAGTGGTGGGGAAGGCGGAACAGCTCAAGGATTAATTAAGTAATAGAATTATTCTGTTGGTGTTGGGTTAGCTGTGTTGTTTATGGTAAACCCCCTTCTTTTTTATCGGCGAGGAATGGGTTGCTGCATAAAAACTGTGACATAGGTTTTGCTGTTGCAAGGGATTTGGTGCTTAGTTAATTTGTAGGGCTGGCTGAGCTGCTAGTTACTCCAATATGCATGTTACAAGTGTGTATATGTTTTCTTATTTATGGTGCAAGTTCGATTCTCTACATTAACGAACGAACGAATGAATGAATTCAACGCATTACATTGTATCATTGGTTTGAATATCACAGTAGCATTCCAGGGTGTAGGAAAGTCTCCTCCCGAAAAGAGCAGGGAAGGAGAGGCCATGGCTGGCTGCTAAACCAAAGAAATAGTCCAAAATTTTGATGACAACGTACAGGCCGACAAAGTAAGCTCCAAAATTGGAATGCTTGACAATTGCTCTATTTGATGGCATTGTATGACACATTGGCACTAAGCAAATAAATGTGGAATGAAATAAAAATCAAGTAGCCTAGCTAGCTCCCTAGCTTCGGCATGCATCAGGCATGCTGGTTAATAAACCTTCATCAACGGCGGCAGCATGCCGAGCAAAAGCGAAACGAAAGCTGGACTTGAGCGCAAAAGCGAAACGAAAGCTGGACTTTGAGCGTGGCCAAGTTGATGACTTATGGACGTCCAAACGACTGAGAGTGACATCCTTGGACTTGTCCGTGTGTTTGTGGAGGAACTCCATTGCCAACGCTTTCAATCCTTTGCATTTGTGGGAGTTGTCAACGTATTTTGCTTCGAAACGTCCCTCACGCATGCAACACGCAGTCCCCAATCTCCCATAAGCAGCCTTCCTTGCGTCTTGCTCTACTTCCTTACCAACAAACGCCACGTTTTCGTCCCAAGAAAATTAACCAGCGAATTCAGAAGAGGAGTGGAAATGAATTCAATTAGAACCTGACCGCAGGATTTTAATCAAACGGCCAAGATGACTTGGTCCGCAGGATCCTGAGATACAGATCCGGAGACGATCTGAATCCGGAAAGCCCAACACAAGTATCGAAGACAGAGGAGGCTTTGTTTTGTGTGTGGGTTGAGTTGTGAGACTGCGTCCGCAAATAATGTTGGGTGGTGGTGGTGGCTGCTCTCGTCTTTCCACCCATCTGCGACTTCGAGGCTCGGACATCAACCGGCTCCACGTCAACCTCCACCACCCGCAGCTAGGCTTGGGCTTTGGCTTTGTGTTTGTCTTGGGATTAGGGTCTTACAACACCAGAATCGCCCACCTCCGCTGCTGCCCCTGCCCTCCACCTCTCAAACCCCTATCCTTGTCGTCTGCCGTCTCTCACTCTCACACACAGACTCACACAAGGGGGATTCCTTTTCCCTCCATCCTTGCTTGTTCTAAGTTGTCTTCCTCCAACATTACCGCCCTCTCCCATTGTTTTAGGTACTCTCCTCAGCTACTTTTCCCTCCCCTTTCCCGTTTGTTTTATTTCTCCTTTGGGTTCAGTTATAAATCCATTCAATTATGCAATTCAGATTTCATTTTACTTGTGATTGAATTTGTCTTATTCCTTTATTTTCCATTTGATTGCCTTATCGTTTTCCTGCCACAACTTCATCCTATGTTAAAATCTTGTATTGTTATCATTCATTTTGGTTTAGAATTACAATGCAGGAATTAACATGAGTGAATTGATTCAATTTTTCTTATGATGGTTTCAATGTTGATTACTTTAGCCAACGAGAAGGTGAACGCGAGCTTCCCCCCGAAGGATTGTCCTCTGTCGCAGGTTTTATCCCACCTCTACTGTCCCTTTTACGCTTTCTCACCAACATTTTCTTATCACATTATATGTACAAGCTTGTTCCTTACTTTGGCATTTGTACGCAATAATATACTACTTCAATATCCATAAGAATTTTGTTAGCATCTTATGTGCCAGAATTCCTTTTAGCTGCTTCTTCAGGTACCAATGCGGTATATTGCATTTGCGATTCTTCTACACTGTGACTGGTCTTTTAGTGTATCTGGTGACGTAGCTTTAGAGATACTGATTTTCAAGAGGAGAACAAACCTTCTAAGACAACCAAGTCTCAAGTCAATTAAACAACTTCTGAGCAAACTAGGGGAAAGAAACTGTCCACAAAATTGGAAAAGCAAATTTCCTATACTGACCTTGAACACGTATAGTTTATAGTTTATGGATTAAGAAAACTTCCAACTTCCTTTATTGGGTCTTCCCTCACAGGTTCTGAACCTGTACTTTTGGTTGTTTGCTGCATATCACCTGGTATCCTCATGCACAAGGCCTTCCGTTTGTTCTTTATATATTAACTTCTTTGGTGCACTGTCTGTATTAATCTTAAGATACACACAACTTTGTTCTCTTTTGTTGTCATTCCCAGGAGGAATAGTCGCACTGGGAAAATTCGATGCCCTTCACATTGGTCATCGAGAACTTGCGATTCAAGCATCCAAAGTTGGACCTCCATTCCTTTTGTCATTTGTTGGAATGGCTGAAGTACTGGGTTGGGAACCAAGGTATTGTCATTTGTTGTTGTGATATGAGCTGCACATTGGAACTCAATTTCCTTGTTCGGGTGATTATAGTTTCAAATAGAAATTCATCTTCAGCTTTGTTAAATGAACCTAATTATATTCTTGTAAAAAAACCAATTGAACAGAGCTCCCATAGTTGCGAAATGTGATCGCAAACGGGTTCTTTCCTCTTGGGCCCCGTACTGTGGTGACATGGCACCTGCAGAGTTTCAGATTGAATTTTCAAGTGTTCGATGTCTAACACCAAGGCAATTTGTTGAGAAATTAGTGAAGGAGCTTGGAGTGCGTGGGGTTGTCACAGGTAAGTTAATTTAACGAAATCCATTATGTTTCTTGGTATGAGTCAAAAACACACCCTTGATCATATATTTTGAAGTTTGAAATGGAATTTACAATGACTGATCGTGGCAGGTGAAAACTACCGATTTGGATACAAAGCTGCAGGTGATGCGACAGAGCTGGTGAGGTTGTGTGAAGAGTATGGCATTGAGGCATATATCATAAATTCTGTTATGGACAAGAACGAATATTCCATAAATATACAGTCGAGTGATTTGAAAGACAGAGGACAAGTCTCCTCTACTCGCGTTCGCCGTGCCCTTGCTGTGGGAGATATGAAGTATGTCTCACAACTGTTGGGTCGGCAGCATCGTCTGATAATGGGTGCTGCAAAGGACCAGGAAGGATTTACTGGCAGCAAACACAAGTTGTCAGTTCCAAAGTCTGGTTTGTTAAATCTGGCTCCAAAGGAGGGTCTATACGAGAAGTGTTATCTTTGTAGTGGGGAGGATGATGACCTAGCATCATCCTGCAGGGTCGTGGTTGACACCGGGAATGTCCATATAGAAATGGATGATGAGGTAGACGTAGGCGTATGTAATAGAGTTGGTACACAGGACTTGAGGCTCTTACGTATTGAATTTGGTGATTCGCAATCTTGAGTATGTTTAAATGATTTGATTTTCATTTCGTCTCTTTTAAAAGAAGTTGGCTGAAATCTTTCATCCTTGTCCGAAAAATAATGAATGGCAAACACATGATGAGAGAGAATAATACGGGGATATATGTGCAGCTTTAGAATGTATCATTTTTACGTTAAGGTATGGGGCTCGAGGTTGAGGATTGGGTAGAGAAAGGTTTTACATTTCTGGTTGTGCTACATCATGATGGATTCATCGATAACGGGTGTACATGTGGTGCAACGAGAATGATTCGAATTTTGGCTTATAATGATTCTTATACAAATTCTCAAAATCAATTAGAAAATGCGGGTTATAACTCATAGCTTTTGTGAAAAGATAAAAAAAATTGAGATTTTTAGTTTTAGAAAATATTTTGTGTGGAAGTTAAGGGAAATGTTGCAAGACTTTTGAATATTCAAATTAATTTTAAGTACATATGATGCAATGAGAAGGACTCGAATTTTCGCTTACAATGATTCTTGTAAAAATTTCCAAATTGATTAAAAAACATGGGTTATAACTCACACTTTTTGCGAAAAAATTGAAAATTTTAGTTTTAGGAAATATTTTGCGTCGAAGTTAAGGAAAATATTGCAACACTTCTAAATGTGATTCTACCATATATTAGGGTCCGAAACTATTTTTTATTGATTCTTAAAGTAAAAAAATAGAAAAATAAATATAATTTAATAGAGCGCCCCCACCTGAATATATAATGATTCTTGTAAAAACTCCCAAATAGATTGGAAAACGTGGGTTATAACTCACAATTTTTGTGAAAAGAATTGAAATTTTTAGTTTTAGAAAATATTTTTCATGGAAGTTAAGGAAAATGTTGCAAGACTTTTGATTGTGATTCTACCATCTTTTAGGTTCTGAAACTACATTTTATTGATTTTAAAGCTAAAAAATAAAATATAAACTAATAGAGCGCCCCCAGCTCCGAATATATTTTTTTGTGTCGAAAATGTTAAGAATGTCCTAAAATTAATTTTAGGAAACATATGATGGGACAAGAAAGACTCGAATTTTCACTTATAATGACTCTTGTAAAAATTCTCAAATCGATTGAAAAACGTGAGTTATAGGAAATATTTTGTGTGGAAGTGAAGGAAAACATTGCATGATTTATGAATGTGATTCTATCATCAATAAGGCTCCGAAACTATTTTTATTGATTTTAAAAGTTAAAAAATAGAAAAAATAAATATAGGTTGATAGACCCCCTGTCACAGCCCGTCCCAAATATATAATTATCGACGGTGTGAATTGACGAAAATACCCTTGAACGTTAGTTGTGTAATGTGGTTTAAGTGTGGATTTGGGTCAATATTCTTAAATCCTAATTGTTTGGAACCAATTAGGATTAAGTTATGGTATTTTTAGTGGTTGACCAATCCTAGGCCACACACACTCACACTCTCTCATCTCTCTCTCATCTCTCTCTCGTACCCTCTCATCTCTCTCGGACTCTCACTCTCTATCTCCTTCGAAATCGTACGGACAATCACCCAAAACCCTTGAAACTTCATGGATCGTGGTCAAAGTTGGCACTATTGTGTTTGTGAAGCTCAGACGAGTCGATTGGTACCCATTTCAGGTAAGGATACCTTCGAAAACCCTAGTTTTTCATAACCCCCGATTTGTGCACTATTCATGCACACGTAATTATGGATGTTTTTGGGAATTTGAAGCTTGTAGGAAGCTTAATGAGGTCCTAAGGAAGCTCGGAGTGCTTTGTTTGAAGGTTTTGGACGTCGAGATCGTGTGGACGAAGTTTGGCCGGTTTTTCTTGGAATTCTCCGATGAGATCCCGTGACTTTTAGAACTTTAAAGTAGTATGATTGTGTTCTACTAGTAAAGAGCTTCATTTTGGTATAAATTGCGTGAAAAATGGTGCAAAAATGAGCGAGAAATAGGCAGTTGCAGGTCTGCCCAGAATCCGGCGCCAATGACACTATTCCGCGTCTGGAGGTTGAAGGTGATGCGCTTGAGGGCGCGTGAGGCCGTGCCTTCCCCGGCGCGTGAGCCATAGAAAAATTATTCTAAAAATATCATGACGTTTGTGAGGTTGTGTAGGTCACGTTGGTATATTCAAATACCAAAATTGAGCTTTGTATGAGAAGTTATTAGCTAGTTTTGTATATGTGCTTTAAAATAACGTTTTTATAGTTAATTTGCATATAGGTGAGACTTATCCCGATGGCGAGCGTATCCATGGGCGACTCGGGGGTTACCACCCGTCGACATACAAGTGAGTGGACTTTTGTTTTAAGTATATATTTATATACTTGGTATATTCCCCAGAAATACACTCTTTTTTTAAAGAAAAGTATGCTTTGAAATAATATGCCAAATGCTTTTATATTCTGATTATGCATTTCATGGTTGCATATATATATATATAAATGTGGTGTTGTGGAGGTACAGGTAAGTTCAGGTAAGTTATGTTTGGTTATGTGAATCATCGATGATGTGATATGTAATTGAATGATGTTGAGCTCATAAAATTGTACCTAGGGTGATTGTGATTTAGCCAGATATATGAATTACAGGCCTGTTTAATTACGTCACCTCCTGCACTATATGCTCATATTGGATCCAACTTTAGTGCACAGCCTTGTCGTACAGAGCTTATTTATGGTTCCGACTCGTAGGTGATTAGCGAATTATCGCCCGGCTATTATGAGAGAATAAAATTGAGCATAATTATATTACACCCAATCTTGTTGTACAGACCTTTATAGGGGTTCCGACTTATGTGCAATATATTGCCGTATAGGTCATTGTAGTGACTCCGGCTATATTGACTTTGAGCTATGAATTCAGCCATACACATTACCACATGGGTTCCGGCTAACATATCATATTTCTATGAATTTATTATTTCCTAAATTGCTTACTTTGTTATATATTGGCATGGCATATATTTGAATATGATTATATGAAGCATGAATTGAATTGATATGATTATATATATATATATATATACATGTATATACTTATATCTTGATTCTGGGAATACATGTTTTACAGTAAGGGGTTAGTATATTGATAAATGAAAATGATTTTGTAAAGCATTTGTTTTTGCCCACTCACGTTTTCTGTTTTGCGCTCCTCCAGGTTTTGGTGGCTCGAGGACGTCGGCTGTTCTAACTTATCTAAATAATAGTAGGACATTCCTGGTACTGTATAACTAGTACTTTTCCTGCTGGACTGCACTTAGACTTTTATGCTCTGAATAGGAATGTTTACTGTTGTAACTAACTCCTATCACTTTCTGTTTAGTAGTGCACTCTAGTAATTTGGTTTTTTTTTATTATTCATATATTTCTTTTCAATATTGCTTCCGCATTGTGCACATGGCTACGTCACTCTCACGTGACGGCCAACATGCCTTGATCTCGGTCGGGGTGTGTCATCCCCCCCCCCCAAAAAAAAACAAATATATTTGTATGTGTCGAAAATATTCTGAATGTTCTAAAATTAATTTTACGAAACATATGATGGGACAAAAATGACTCAAATTTTCACTTAGAATGATTCTTCAAAAAAAATTCCAAATCGATTAGAGAACGTGGGCTCACAATTTTTGTGAAAATTTGAATTTTTTTTGTTTTAGAAAATATTTTGTGTGGAAGTTAAGGAAAATGTCCAATACTTATGAATATGATTCTACCATCTATCAAGATCCAAAACTATTTTTTATTGATTTTTAAAGTAAAAAAATAGAAAAATGAATATAATTTAATAGAGCGCCCATGCTTGAATATATTTTTATGTATCGAAAATGTTCAAAATATACTACAAGTAATTTTAAGAAACATATAATCGATGAGAAAAACTCGAAATTTGACTTATAATGATTCTTGTAAAAATTCTCAAATTGATTGGAACTCATAGTTTTTGTGAAAAAAAATTCAAACTTTTAGTTTTTGGAAATAGTTTGTGTGGAAGTTAAGGAAAACCTTGCAAGACTTTCGAATGTGATTCTACCACCTATTAAGTCCCAAAACTATAAAGTTAAAAAATTTAAAAAAAAATATAAACTAATAGAGCACCCCCCCCTAAAAATATATTTTTTTATGTGTCAAGAATGTTAAAAATGTAACATTCCACATCGTCCAGGGGAGTGGATCCTGTAAGTCTTCTATGTATATTCTCATCTCTACCTAGCACGAGGCCTTTTAGGAGCTCACTAGTTTCGGGTTCCATCAGAACTCCAAAGTTAAGTGAGTTCGCACGAGAGCAATCCCATGATGGGTGACCCACTGGGAAGTTCTCTTGTGAGTTCCCAAAAACAAAATCGTGAAGGCGTGGTTGGGGCCCAAAGCGGACAATATCGTGCTACGACAAAGTCGAGCCCGGGCCGGGATGTGACAAAAAATGTCCTAAAATTAATTTTAGGAAATATATGATGCGACGAGAAGGATATGAATTTTCACTTATAATGACTCTTGTAAAAATTCCCAAATCGATTGGAAAACGTGGGTTATATAACTCACTGTTTTTGGGGAAAAAAAATGAAATTTTTAGTTTTAGGAAAATGTTTTGCGTGGAAGTTAAGGAAAAATGATGCAAGACTTATGAATGTGATTCGACCATATATCAGGGTTCAAAACTATTTTTTACTGATTTTCAAAGTTAAAAAATAAAAAAAAATATATAATTCAATAGACGTTTTCAATACAAACATCCATAAAAGGGTATATAATTGGGGAAGAGATACCCTCCGGATCTCTCCCACAAAATCCTAGGGATCCGGAGATCCGGACCCTTGAAATTTGATCCAATGACTATAATTATTATAACTTTTAGAGGGGCTCTCTGTTTGTAACCGTTGGATCAAATTTCAAAGGCCCGAATCTCCGGATCCCTATGATTTGGTGGGAGAGATCCAGAGAGGATCTCTTCCCATATAATTGGAAGAATAAAATAGAAAGCAACAAATATATATATATACACACACCTTAGCGTGGCTGGTAAAAGGTCTGTTCCAACCTCCAGAGATATCTGTTGGAAAATATTAGTATATTA